CATGATAAGATGCATATGCATAAGTCAAGGTGGTTGAGTCTTTTGCCTATTGGGATGTCGGAGGGCTGAGATTTGATCCTAGTGCTTTGGCTTGATTGTTAGATGTATGGTAGGGGTATGCTGGTTATGAACTCACTATGCGATGATTATCTCACTCAGCTATGAGCTGACCCTCTTTGATTCTTCTTCTCTGCTTATGCCATGTGTAAGCAGATCATCATCATCAGCAGTAGATAGGTGTATAGGTGGGAGCTGAGCAAGAGTTGAAGGCAAGATGAGGTATGGTCTTCAACTAGTCTGTGCTTGGACTACTACTCGGTATTTTGGCCAGTGATCCACACCTTTTGTAAAAATGTTTTGAGAACGCTTTTCATGTGCATACTAGCTTCTGATGTAGTGTGAGATATCCACAGGGGTGGAAAGTTGATGATATGTGTATATTTTTGTAATTATGTAAGTTGTGACGATTATGGCTTGTATCAGTATAGTATGCAGTTGTGTAGTATGAAACTGTGACTATGGCTATGAAAGCCAATGCTTATGGTTGTGAGTATATATGTTGTGATGAATTATTTTGAAGGATAAGTTACAAGAACTGTTAGCCCATTACGCGAGTAATTCATGTCGAAATTTTATTTGGGTAAATTTTGATAATTAATGTAACACCCGAGATTAAATCTGCTGCAATTGTATGAACAATATGATTAGGCAAAACGTATAGGGTAGGGTGTTACATCTGCTTCCAAACCCAAATGGGCAAGCGGGAGCCGAGGAATAAACAAGGACTATGGGCAATTACATGGCTCCACAGGCGGCGGATATTTAATCTCCCATCTTACATCCACCCGTGGCCACCAACAACTTTGAGATCAAGCCCTCTCTCGTGACGATTATTCATCAAAATGCTACTTCCACTAGCTTGCCCATGAATCACCACTAGAGCATGTCCAAAGGTTTCTTTATCTAGCAGAAAGCTTAAAGATAAATGGAGTCCCTGAGGAGGCATTGCTATTGAAGCTCTTCCCCTATTCTTTGGCATGGAAGGCACTCCAATGGCTCAACAATTGTCCGACTATATCCATCTCCTCTTGGGATGACCTACTCAACAAGTTCATGACCCGATATTGTCCTCCTTCCAAGATGGCCGAGTGGAGGAAGAAGATCACTCACTTTGAGCAAGAGGAGGATGAGACATTGAGGGATGCATGGGAAAGATTCTCCAACTACTTTATCCAATGCCCTCCCCATGGATTCGAGGAGCAGTTTCAGATAGAAACTTTCTATGGAGGACTCATTCAAGATGAAAAGATCCTCATTGACTCTCTTTGCCAAGGGAGGTTGATGAACATGACCCCTCCTCAAGTGACCGAGTTGCTCAAAGATATGGCTCTTAAGGGTTATGATTGGGGCTTGACAAGAAGTGAGAGGAGAAGCACCGATCGAGGACTGTGAAGTGTGGGAGCGGGTGATCCACTTGAAGCGAAATTTGACAAGTTGATCACGGTGATCCTTGAGGACAAGAAGCAAGGGAAGAGAGTGGCCATGTCTTGTGATTGGTAATCTAGCACCAATCACGAAATTGCGGATTGCTAAGCTACGAAGGAGACAAGTACCCCCGAGGAGCAAGTGAGCTTCATTGCCAATGCTAGAGGGAACAACCCTTATAGCCACACCCTCAACCCAAGGTGGCGCAATCATCCAAACTTTGCTTGGTCTTGCCCTACCAATCCAAAACCTCCCGGTTTCCAAGGTCCAACGGGCAACTATCAACCGCAGCTAATATTCATCCAACAAAGGCATCAATTCCAGAACTCGAACTTCCAACAACCATACCAAACACAAGGCGGTCAAGGTTTTCAACAACAACAACAAGTCGACAAGTTCTCTAAACTTGAAGACCTTGTGACCACCTTTGTGAGTACAAGCTCTCAGAAGTTAGAGAAGATTGAACAATTCATAGATATGGCAACATCCAAGCTCACCTCGGTTGAGGAGGGACTCCAAAACCATCAAGCAAGTCTCCAAAACTTGGAAGTTCAAATTAGCAATCTTGTCGGGATCCTCACCGAGAGACCAAAGGGAGCCCTACCCTCTCAAACCATTGCCAACCACAAGGATCAATCCGGGTGCAATGCAATTTTTTTGAGGAGTGGGAAGGTGACCCCGGAGGTCGTTGCCAAAGAAGTGAATGAGAAGGAAGACACTCTACCCGAGGGTGATGAAGAAGAAACGTCGAGAGAAAGAGAGGAGTGGCAAGGAAGGCATTGCCGATGCCACCACATATGGCTTGGTACACGCCACCCCTACCTTTTTCTCCGAGAGTTCACAAGGAAAGATTGGAAGCGGAATTTGGAGGTTTCATGGAGATGCTCTGAAAGCTCCACCTGAACATTCCCTTCCTTAAAGTGATGGCCCACTTGCCAAGGTTTGTTGCTCTGGGTTGAGGTCGCCCAAGTGTTTAGGGCATTTCACTTGAAAATCTTAAACATTGTGGTTGTTGGTTTTGAATTGTAAACCTGTTTTGGGTTGCTCCAGAGTAACCGGTTTGTGGTTTGAGTTGTGGTTTGGTTTTCAAAAGAGACAGGGTCGTTTCATTTTGGTATCAGAGCCGGCATTCCTCTGTTTCTTGGTCTCCAAGGAATACTGGAGTAACGATCTGTGTTTTCAAAGGTTTAGTTTTAGAGGGAAAAAAGGGGGAACTTTCAAGAAAAATGGTTGGCCAACCGATTTAAAAAGGTTTATAGAGTCCCCATTATACTCAAGCATGATAAGACATTAATGTGGTTCTACTAATGGTACTACTTACTTGCAGAGCAAGTAACGCCAATGTTAACCACGCGGAGGTTAGGCAACCCCCGAATTATGAGACTTTCCGGAGGCGAGGCATGGTTGATTTTGATGGGGACCGCTCGAAGGATGCTAGAGAAGTAGAGAAATGGCTGGCGAAGGTCTCGCGCACATTAACTGAAACGAGGGCAGATGATGAGGATATGGTGCTACTGACAGTATCCTTGTTCCAGGATCCAGCATACAATTGGTGGTGCACCCTTCCAGCTAGTCAGGAAGACCCACCAGCTATCACTTGGCCAGAGTTGGTGCGGGTGTTCCGGGATCACTATGTACCAGAGGCCTATCGAATGAGCAAAAAGAGGGAATTTTTGCTGATCAAGCAAGGATCGGGCAATGAAGGAGAGGAGGGTATTGCAGAGTACACCTCCAAGTTCGAGAAGCTGCTGCCCTATGGGGGACCCCAGTTCCAGGATGTGGCATCTCAACGTGCCCACTATTTGGAGAGTCTGAAGCCTGCCCTTAAGAAGCAGTTGAGCATGCTGGCGTGGAACAGTCGGGATGAGATTTATCAGGCGGCTCTTCGGATAGAGAGGGCTGACACAGCTGTGCATGAAGAAGGGATATAGCGAGAGGGAAGCAAGAGAAAGGTAAGTAGCATGCTAGAGTGGTCCGGCCAGCCCAGTCAGTACAGAAGGAGGCTGAGCGGTACCATTAGCTTTGGGGGTACTCAGAGTCAAACCGGCTTGGTTCGGCCTGGTCAAACTTTAAGCAACATAGGTCTCTGCAACCAATGTGGGCGGGATCACTTAGGGGAGTGTAGGCAACCCCCCAAGGTCTGCTATAACTGTAACGAGCCTGGGCATTTCGCTAGAGAATGCCCCTGGAGAGGCGGACAAGGGATGGATCGGTCCGAGCAGTGTGTCCGGGGTGGTGGAGCGAGGACTCACGCGGGACCATGGTTTGGCGGCCAGCCTAACCGCTCTTTCCAGAGCCAGGGAGTACGCACTGTGCGCTTCGAACGCATCGATCGGGACAGAGACCAGGGGCCTCCAACAAGAGGACAACCGAGGGTATTTGCCATGCGAGGGATAGAGGGAGACAGTGGTGACGGTGGAGGGGACGAGCAAGCACATTGATGTGATCATGTGAAGAAATGGGGAGACTGTGGAGGAGTATTTGCTCTAAGCATAGACCGCTAGTTAGTTGTTTTCTTCGAACGACACACTTTCAGTTTTAGTACTCGGTACGAAACCTATTAAATAAGTTCGGACCAAAATTTCGAGGTCGAAATTTTTTTTCAAGGGGGAGGGAAATGTTATATTCTTGCTTGAGAAGTTTTAGTCAAACACCAAAAGTTTTAGACCAAGTAATTATCTTTCCATTTCCAAATTTCGGGTACGAAATTTTTGTAAGGGTGGAGGAAATGTAATACCCCGATATTTTAGATTTAGGTTCGACCTTAATACGTGATCGGTTGGATTGACGGTTACGTATTAAGAGTTTCAACCGCGAATTAAGAATAATAATAATAACTATTATTATTATTATATTATTCTTACATTATTTATATAAAAAAAAAACAAAGTAGGGTGGCCCTAGGGGCCGAGCACCCACTAAACAAAACCCCACCCCCACCATTATTTCTACCCACGCAGAGATTCCGAAAAACCCTACCCACCATTAGTTTTCCCCACCCATCATAAAACCCTCCCCCAAATTATCCCCATCGCTATGCAGCAGCAGCCGTTGCCGAGAAGAAAGAAGAATCGTCATCCCCAATTCCATTCCCGAAGCGCAACCGCCACCACCTGTGCCCGACTCCGATTTCCCGACCCCGATCCCATTCCTTTCGTGTTTCTAGGTAAGGATCACGAAATCTTTTGCGATTTCTAAACTCGATTTATCGGTAGTCTAATCCGAAGCTTGTATTTTATTTGCGGTGACCGTTGAGGGTTCGATCAACGGGGAGATCAACGTTCCAGGTCATCCAATCTAGTCCAAGGCACGTTCTAGAGGTAAGTGAATTTGATCCCTTTGAGTTAGATCGATCGATTTGGTGATTTTTCATGAGGATGCACTTATGGGTTTTAGCAACAGGCTTTACAGGCTTTTAGTGACAGATTTTGATTGGTCACTAAAGTTGCTGGGAATTTCCAGAAACGTATTTTTAGATTTTTTAAATTTTTGTGAGCCTCTCTGAAGGTTTTGTTTTCAATTTAACAATTTTATAAATTGAGCAACGTCTAGGAGATGATTGTAATTTAATTTGGGGATTTTTGAAGATGTATTTTTGTTTTTAGAAATTGTTCTAATATTCGTATTAATTACATAAAAATCTTTCCGTGGGGTTTTTAAGGGTTTGATAATTTTCCAGGGTATAGGTACTCATTATTGACATGGGTTTTTAAGGGTTTGATAATTATCCAGGGTATAGGTACTCATTAGTGTGCGTCATACGTACTGACCCCATCCTCCCATAACTCTCTCAACATTTCTATTAGGGGCTCTAAGTACACATGTATGTTATTACCGGGCGATTTCTCTCCAGGAATAAGGACAACAAGAATAAAATAAGGTTCTGTCATACATTTCCAAGGCGGGAGATTGTACGGTGTTAACACGACAGGCCACATGCTATAGCTATTGCTCATGTTCCCAAAAGGATTGAACCCATCACTTAGAAGAGCAAGGCGAACATTCCTAGGGTCTGCTGAAAACCAATTATGTTCCTCATCGAATCGTTTCCAAGTTTTTCCATCTGCCGGATGCCTTAACGTATCATCATCGACACGCAAGTCCTTGTGCCACCTCATGTCTTTAGCATCCTCCTTAGTCATGTACAATCTTTGCAGCCTATCTTTTAGTGGGAAATACCTAGCTTTCTTTTGGGCTACATTATTTTGTTTCCCAGGTATGTATCTAGACTCATTGCATTTGGGACATGACTTGGCAGATTCTAGAGGACCTCTATAGAGTACACAATGATTTGGACATGCATCTATAGTGGTGTAACCAAACCCAAGATCTTCCATGTACCGCTTAACTTCATAGAAGGAAGAAGGAAGCGTCTCACCAACAGGTAAAGCTTTCTTGACTAGGTCCAGATTCATGTTGAAGGCTTTATCAGTACTATTGGTTACCAGTTTATTGTTCAGCAATTTCATAACAAATGATAATCTAGAAAAGTCTTTGCATCCAGGGTATAATGGCAAATTAGCATCACGGATTAGCCGAGCCAATTTATCATTGAGGTCTGTTATATTAGAATAATTAGGTGTTGTTGACCCCTCAATGATAGGAGCATTTCCAGAAGAAGCACGCAGCATATCCCCTAACATATCAGCCATGTCATCCTCTAAACCCTCAGTCTCAGGCGCAACTATAGGTTGCCTAGGATGATGTCTAGTACTCCCAAAGTCAAACGACTCACCATGATGGATCCATGTAGTATATGTCTCCACCATGCCATTCCTGGTTATATCATCTGCGACAATCTCCAACTTCTTGAAGTTTCGATTATTGCACCTTTTACAAGGGAATCTAGTTCTACCTAGCGTATCAACATGTTTGCTGGCAGCCCCTATGAACTCAGAAACCCCCTTTTGATATACATCACAAAACCTATCCTTAAGCTTAATCCAATTTCTACTCATTCAATCTGTGCGTAAAGAAACTGACCTTCCCTTTATAGGCAGTTGGTCAAGAAGGAAGCACAGCATGAGATGAACTAGAAAAGGATCTGCAGAGGGTATATGACAAACCATTAGGAACCAGTTGACTTACACGATTTATCTGAATGTCAGAAAAATTGAAGACATAAATCGAATCTTACCTTTGCTTAGTGCTTGGGCCGCCTTCTCTCTATTCTAATTAGCACAACTGGATGGTTGAAGGATCGAAGATATAAGCAGCACCTGCCACCGAGTCAATGACAAGGAAACACAAGAGCTCATTCAGATAGATAACCCACCAGAATAGTCTTAAGCTAAATTAGCATTACATAGTAGCCACGGGAGAGAAGGATGACGCTTACCTATTTCTGAGACCAGCGAGTTTGCTATGGGAAACGAGGGAGGGAGAAAGACCAGCGAGTTTGCTCTCCAATCCGTAAAGAAATTTAGGTTTCGGAGATAGGGGATATTTGAACTACGGTGGTGACGAGGAGATTGGTGGAACAGCTACGATGACGGAAATCCCGCCGGAGAGTGGCCGGCCCGATTGGTGGAGGACGGGTAAAGGATTTTGATGTTGGGGTCCTTTGGATTTTTTTTTGGTAAGAGGTTCCTTTGGATTTTGATAGACTGCGAAATTTCAAGAGCCAAGGAAAAAGGAGTATAATTGTTCTCCCGATCGAGGAAAAGAGGTTGCAGACTAAAAACACCAAGTATGACAAAATGCCATTGTCACATATCGAGACCACTATATTAAGACCAACATTACATTTCGTCAGATCGGCGAGGGCTTATGGTGCTCTATTGTGACAAACCAATTTTTCGTCTAAAGAATTCATCAAGACATAATATGACAAACTATACTTTGACGATCACATTTTGTCACTTTATGTCTCTTACAACCCGATGTGGGTTACCTATTTTGACGAACCATATAGTGACACACAAACTTGGTCACTTTATAAACTTTAACTGACAAAGTATTCTGACAAACTGATATTTTGTCACATTAGGAGTACCAAATGTGATATTTACAATTTTTGTCATATTATAGTATCTATTATGACAAAAGTAAAATGACAAAAAAAATTTTTTGTCCTAATAGGCCGAATTTGTTGTAGTGGTTCGTGAATAATGTGAGAACTCTTCTTTTGAACAATCTTAATACAGTTGAATGTCGTTTGTGGTGGTTGCCAACTTTACTTTGTTTTTTTCCATACGTTGGTGCCAAATAACCATTGTGATTCATTCAATTTGTGCCCTATGACATGCCCCAAAAATTGTGTTGAAAAAGAAGTTGTAAGCTTACCTTGTTTTGTACTTGGTTTGCTTTGGGACAAGCAAACGTCTAAGTGTGGGGGAGTGATTCGGGCTCAATTGTACACATTTTACCCCTCACTTATTATTCGTTTAGCTTAGTATTTCATCGTTCCTCAACATATTTCACGCTAGGTTGTACTTGTTTTGATACATTTCAGGTCCTAGCATGTGAGGAAGGGTCGAGGACGAGTTTTGGGATAACTGGAGGTCAAAAAGTGCAAAAACCGAACAAAAGTCCGAAGACCGTGACAATTGCCCCATAACAGTGAAGTGAAGGCATCCCATGAAACAGCCGCAGTTCACAACCGGACAAGGCTGTGAACATGGACCACAAACCGTGAACATCGAGCAGTCCAGCGAGGTTCGTGAAGTTAGTGACCACAAGGCAGTTCACTGGTCACTTTCGGGCAAATATGAAGACAACAGCGTGGAGAGGGAAATGGGAAATGGGTGTAGTTCTAGTGAGACAGAGAGAGTGCTAGAGTGATCTTGGAGCATCATGGAGGCTTGGGTGGAAGATTCAAGCCTAGAAGAAGAAGATATTGAGCTCAAAATTGTAATCCATCTCTCTCCCTCTCTAGAAACTCACTCTTTTCTCTTTGGGTGTTGTAGATCCCTAACTAATACTTTGTAATTACTTGTTTAGATTAAATGATTAAGTGTGAGTTTGTATCAATTTGAGTATTAGAGGTGTTTTCATGGTATGGGATGATTAAACTAAGTTAGATGGATTTTTTTTTTGGATAGGTGTGTCCTTGTAAAGAATTAGAATATCTAAAGTCACATTTCCATATTATTCTTGAACGCTTGAGATAAATATAAATTTTGTATCCAAGCAAAATGACCCATAAAATATGTGGTTAGATAGTCAGAATCAATATATCTCATTTATGTTGATATGGGTAAACTTGATGGAAAAGACAACAAATTATTTATTGCTCTATAGAGGTCTTTGTCTAGTTATTGGAGATGCTAATTTGAAATATCTTGAGAAATGATTAATCGCATTGTTATTGATTGCACTGATTTTTCAATATATCGCATGCTTGTGGTAGAGTTAACAAACCAGTGTAGTGATATTTAGAAGAGCATATGAGTGTGTTTTATGTTTTCAACAAGGTAGAATACATTTGTATAGCCAAAACTTTCGCGCTTGTGACAATAATAGCCAATTTTGGAGAAATACAACTTATAGCCAATTTCTTCCAATACTTTAACGGTGTCATCTAACAAGCTGACTGGATAAACAGAAATGCTGACTTGGTAATATTGTATCAACAAATAGCAATAATTTTTTTTGATAAATCCACAAAATCCTTCCTTTCGTAAATTCCACAACCACAAACCATTTTTATTCTCTCTCCTCTCTTACTTCTTTCCTCTTCTCTCTCCCCAGCCGCAACCCTTGTTCGACGGCTACTCCAAATTCCCCCATTCCAATTCAAAAATCCTTCTATCAACTTCCATCCAATCTCATCCTCAGATGCATCTCTAGATCTACTAAAGCGAGAGAGGAGAAAGCCCCGTCGTCCAGGGATCAGTAGTTCCTTCACTCTTTTCCTTGTGGTTCTCTTCTCCCTGTATCGGTGGCCAGCTCTCAGAGCCCCGACGCCGATGCCATGATGAAGCTCAGAGGCATCTCAATGCTGACAACAACCTAGGGTGGTCCGGCCAAAACCCGTGTTCCTGGAGCTGGAAAGGCATGCAGGGGTTTCTTCCGCCGGAACAACTCCATCATCTCCAGCTACATCACCGCCGTCTTCAGCGATGACCATTCCACTTCCCTATTCAATCTATAAAACCCCCACCAATCATCTCCAGCACCACCCCTGCCGTCAATCGACAATGATTCCCACTTGGATGAGAGATAGGAGTAGATCTAGAAGAAAAGCCAGTCACGTTGGGAGGCTCGCCAACACAACAGTGACGGGATGCAGGCGGCGAGCGAAGGAACAAATGTAGAAGAAAAGAAGTCACGATGGGTTAAGGCTTACTATGAAGGCTTCATTCTCTCTAAGCTCAGCAAATATGGAGAAGAGATTTCAGTTGGCAATGGCGGAGGTTGTGAGGGATAGTGATGCGACAAATTGGGGGGAGGGGAAGGGTCTCGCAGAGGAAGGTGAAAAGCATAGATGATATTTTAATTTTTGTTTTTATAATTTTAGTTTAATTTGTGTTACCATAATGGCTTCATCCAAGAAAAAGACTCCGAAAAAAAATTTCATTAATTAATTATTTTTATTAATTAATTTATGACGTGTAATTATTAATTAATTTATGATGTGTCACTTTCAGCTTATTTGGCGCTGACGTGTACGATGATTGGAAGTCTAGTCAGCAAACCGTCAAATAAGTTGACGGTGTTAATAACACCGTCAAAGTATCTAACGGAAATGGCTATATTTGTCCTGGAACAACTTTAAAAGCTGGATATAAGTGGTATTTCTCCAAATTTGGCTATTATTGACACAAACACGAAAGTTTTGGCTATACAAGTGTATTTTGCCTTTCAACAATAAAAACACATAGTTCCTATGAAATGAAATACTCATGTTGTTGTGAAATCCATTGATGCCAATAAACTTATGTTTTAAATCAAGAAATAGTGGGGGTAGTATGTTGCCTACTATTAGAAATAATGGATCTAGTGGGGTTGATGAATCTGAGTATGAGCTCAGAAGAGACAAATGAACCATAAATCAGTAAAGGATTTTGGTTATGAATTTGTTATTTACACCCCTACAAGTCTGCTAGAAGTTCGAACTTCCATAAAGATGCATATTTGTAAAAGAATCCATTATTAACAAAATGGAATTATGGAGTCTAATAAGATTTATGATCTTGTATAGTTACCTCTTGGTCGTAAGCCGTGGGTAACATATCGCTGGAATCGAACAAGATTTCGCATCTTTAAGAGTTACCTCGTGGCAATGAAGCCATGGGTAACAAATGAATTCTTCATGAAAAAACTAAAACTTGATGGTTTCGTTTATGAGTATAAGTATCGCCTACTAGCTAAAACTTTAGGCGAAGAAGGAAAAATTGAGGATTTCTTTGATATCTATTCACCACATCTTGAATAACATCCATGTATGATTGCTAGTATTGCGCGTCACATGGATTGTTAAAACTGTTTCGTGAATGGTGGTTTAGATAAAGAAATCTACTTGGGACAACTGATAGACCGATAATTACACATATTTTCGCCCCTATTCTTGAGCTGTTTGAGAGGTTGACTCTCGGGTTTTAAGCCGATTTCACGCGAGGTTGTGTGTTTATGTCGTATTTCAGGACCCGGCGTTTGAATCGAGGCGAAGGAACGAGATTCGGGTCGAAAGGAGCAAGTGAGGCTTGAAGCGGGCTGGAGGAAGAAAATACCCGGCCATGACCAAAAATACCCGGCCGGGTATTATTCTGAGGAGACCGGGGATTTTTCATTTTGGCGTCTGAGAAACAGGGAGGGTTCCGGTCTGGAAGGCAGAAATCCCCGACCGGGGATTATTGGAGGAGACCGGGTATTTTTCCCCTGGCCAAAATGCGCGTTTCAACTATACTCGGTCGAGACCCAAAATACCCGACCGGGTATCGCGAAGGCAGCTGTTTTAAGGGAAAAGAAGGCTGAAAATCAGGGGATTCGAGTTTTAGAGAGATAGAGCGATTCCTAGAGAGAGAAAGCGACGAACAAGAGTCTCCAAGTGCCCTAGCTTGATCTTCATCACCATTGGAGCTTGGCTTGAGCTTGGAGGAGTGCCAATCAATGTCCAGGAGCAGGAATCCATCCTTCACAGTATGAATTCCGCGTCTGTTTCTGCTTTTGCTTCTTTCTCCATGGAGAAGTTCTCCCATTCATCTGGGTATGGAGAACCCTAGATTTGTATGTTAGGTTTGATTGTATGAACCCAAGTACTGATTCTGTGATTTGATTATATTTGACTGAGGTTTGAATGATTGAATGGCATGAATCCTGATCAAATTCCTGTTGTTTCTGCTTTAACCTAGTGGAGGTTTTGTTTGTTAAGGCCTCAATCTGTTTACTCCGGTGGAGGTTAGTCTCCCGGAGGAGACTCAGATTGAGAGGGTCTGAAGACCTTTAGTCGAGACTTCAGGCTGTTTGAGAACCTTCCGCAGTATAACTATCATAGAAACTGAACTTGGTAATTGCAATCCGGCTTAACTGCAGTCTAGGGGGAACCATATCCGGGTGACCTCTCTTAACTTGAATACAACCGTTTACTTGCTTTGTTAGTTTGTTAGTTTAGACTTGCATTAAAGTTTCATTGCTAGATAACAAGAATTCACTGAGTAGTCATCAAATCTAGGACCCGGGTTGACATTTAAACCCAAACCCGCTATACTACGCTTTAGGAAGTGGTTTCACTTGGCCAATTCCTGGAGTGACAGTAGAAATGAGTCAACAACCTAAAGGGTTGTTATTCCTGAACATGTTTTTAAAGTCTATGGTGAGACAAATCGTGGTATGATTTGAAATAGACTTTAAAGATCATGGCATGCATGGATGGTTCTCTCTCATGGTTTTGAATGAAAGTAACAAGTGCATTTGTTACAAACGACACTTGCACAATAAAAGGCATGTTGATCTTTGTTGCAAAGACTCACGACATGAATAAATGTGAAAACCATGTTGAGTGAGAACCTTGATGAGATGGATCCAAGTGTATCACTTAGAGATCCAAATGACTAGGACAGTGAAAGAGATTTTTTATAGATCAATCTAACTACTTGGTTAAGATCTATAAGAAATACAAGTTGTACACTTGCCTAAATGTTTGAAGATGCTAGTACAATTTTTAAAAGAGCACCAAAGATGATGTAAGAAAGTAAGAACATACTAGCATCGACAGTCTGCGAGAGGCAGATGATAAACATGAGACTCGATTTAGTGGGGGTACTTGACTAGCTTACTGATTGTCCTAGTATGAAGCATTGAAATGCTATTGAGAGGGATCATGAGACACCTTAAGAGAATTGTAGACCTTGATATAAGTTATCAACGGTTTCGTACTGTATTGGTAGGGTATATTGATGCGGTCGAGAATACCTTATAGAAGACTCCAAGGCATCCAGTGGACATGTTTTAAACATCACTGTAAGAGTTGTGTCTTGGAATTCTAAGTAGTAAACGATCCTGGCTAAATCAACTAAGAAATCAGAAATGATAGAGCTAGAAATGGCTATTAAAGAGAAAAGTTGATTAAGAGGGTCATTATTAGAGATTCCCTTATGGGAAAGACTGATCCCTCCGGTAGTCTATATTGAGAAAAGTTCATGCATAGTGAAGCATGAATCCCAAAGCATTGGATGATGAGTTAAACTCTTAATAAGATCTATACTCTATGTGGAGTGAAGTACTTTACTTTGGGGGTATTTATGATATACTCACGTATGTGAATAAGGGAGTGGGGCCGCTTCCTATGAAACTTTGGAGGCACAAAGTTGCTAGAGCGTTCACTAAACCAGCATAACGTGCATGGCCATAAATGCACGGCCTATGAGAGAATATCACACAATGAAAAGATCTGGTGTGCTACATTGTCTGAGATAGGGTTCAAGACTACGAGTCACCTTTATGAAATCGGAAGTGTAACCACTACGCTAAGGTTCAAATCTTCACGATACCTTAGCTTATGCCCGATCTTATGGAACTGTTGATGCTCAAGATAGTTTCAAAACTATTCTAGTGGGGGATTGTTGGGATGAATAGTTTTGAAAAGCTATAAATGAAATTCCTAATTAATTATCCAGTATTTATCCATAATACGAAAATAAGATGGATAATTAATAAAAGGAATCTTATGGAGATAATTAGGGTTAATTATCTTAACAGATTATATTTTAATTATGGGAGTAATGATCTCCCTAATGTGACTTATTCCCAAAGAAAGAGGGAATATTCTAGGTTTTCTGCTCCTATAAATAGCATACCCCCCAGACCCTCTAAACATACCTCAGAGAGCAGAAACACGAGAGAGAGTGAGATTCAGAGAGCTCCGGTTTTCGCACAAAACCGCTGAGCAAATTTAATGACTGGTTGTTTTATCCTGGAGGTGACCGGCTGATAGTCTGATGTGCGTATTACGAGGCAGTGCCGCGAACTTCTTAAAGAGAGCAACCTAGTCTGTGACTCGGTCAGATTTGGTAACCCTAAATTTATGTTCGGTTTCTAACAGGAGATGATGTTTATATTTGACTGCTTAGTGTGTTTGTGTGCATGGAGCCTAGTTTGTCTTCCAAATTTCCATTTGAGGGCTCCAAGTACGTGTTCCTTGCAATGACCTGCTTAGTATGCTTTGAATTGACAGTCTTTATATTACTATGCAATCTAGGGAGATAGTGTAGCGCTATGGAGGATGCTGAAGTATAAGATTTTTCCTATCTTTCTTTTTGTTGTGCCAGTTGATTGTGTGACCTAGTGGATGTAGATCTTTTGATTCATGTGACATCGATGACTCTCTCTTAATATGTACGGACTGATGTTTCATACAAGGGTGCTCAAGTGTGTAATGATAAAGCAGTTGGTCCTCCATGTCAGAAAAATTGAAATCTTAAACATGGCGTAAGGCCAACGTGTGTGGCACCGTTCATTGCACAAAATCGGGTTAGATTTTAGTGATCCTTAGTGGGGTAGGCCTACAAGGTGAAGCTAAACTGTCTTTGGTACAAGTAAAAATTCCACCCGTTGAACGGTTTGCCTACTTGAGGATGTGTTTTTAAGGGCACGGATACAGCTTCCGACCCAGCTTAATTTCATTGACCCTCCATACGAAGTGAGGAAAAGAAGTTAAAAGAAGTACTCTGACAAGCGACTGATGTACAGAAATTGCGCTTGCTCACCTAATAAGGGTCGACTGAGCATAAAAACTGCAGTTGGAACCCTAACAAAGTGCAAATGTGAAAAAGAAGAAAATAACAAATGATAAGGAAAAGGGGTTCCGACAAGTGAAATGGAATTAAAGTGCACCCTATACGGAGATTCTTTGGTTGTTGTGTTATGTGAGTGAGTCTCTTTGCCCATGACTTGTTTGTCTTAAGTCCATTGCTTCACATGATCCTAGGTGATTCTAGTACTCGCATTGAGGGAAATAGGGGATGTCTTAGAAAACCGGTTGACCTCTTAAGTTGCTAAATGACCTAGGAAGTCCTCTGTCGACGATCGGGGTTGCATGGTGTTGTAGAGGTCTGGAGAGTTGCATTGGTTTGAGCCAGGTCTGCTTGGGGACAAGCAAATGGTTAAGTGTGGGGGGTTTGATAAACCGTTATTTGTACATGATATTTCCCACTAATCTTGAACCGTTTGAGAGTTGAATCTCGTCTTTTAAGTCGATTTCATGCCGGGTTGTGCTTTTATATCATATTTCAGGACCTGGAGTGGAAAGGAAGGCTCGGAGGTGAGTTTCCGGTGAAAAGCACTAGAGGAACGGAAGGAGGAGAGCAAGAGCCAAAAACCCTGGTCAGGTCATAAAGGGGGGGGGGGGGGAATGTGTTCGAGACTGGGGAATCGCTCTAGAGATTTTACCCAATCTGGACCCCCCAGTTCCCCGACCAGGTAATTTCAGGTGGAGACCGGATTTTAACCCAAAATGATGTGCACCGTTTCGCAGTTACCTGGCTAGTTTGCCTTAAACCCGACCGGGTTTCGGGCAGAGGAGCTGTTAGATGCGAATTATGGGTTCTTTGAGAAAAGAAAGAAGTTTCGGGGAGAAAAAGAGTGAAATCTATAGAGAGAAAGCGACGAACTAAACCTCCAAAGTGACCTATATCAAGTTTTGAAGCAATTGGAACTAGATTGAAGCTTGGAGAAGTGCCGATTGACAACCAGAAGCCGATTGTCATCCTCCACAGAATGATTTTTGCATCTGATGTTGATTTCTCTTTTCTCTCTATGGAGTAAACTCTCTCTCTCTCACCTGGGTACGAAGAACCCAAGATATGTATGTTAGGTTTGGTTGTATGAACCCAAGTACATTATCTTTTGACATTGATTATATTCAATTGAGGCATGATTTTCTGAATTGCATGAATCCTGATCAAATTCCTGTAGTTTGTGCTTTGACCTAGAAAGAGAATATCTACCTAGGTTGATAGACACCCTTAATTGAAGGTGGAGAATTGACTACTTTAGTTGAGGAGTCAATTCTTTGCTATGTACTGGATTTACTCCAGTAGAGGAGGTTTTTCACTTTAGGGCCTCTATTCGTTTACTCCGGTGGAGGTTAGTCGCCCACCGGGTATTCAGATTGAGAGGGTCTAGATACCTTTAGTCGAGACTTCAGACCAAATAAGAACCTTCCGCAGTATAATTGTCATTAAATCTGGACTTGGTGAATTACAACTCGACTTAACGGCAATCTTGGGGGAACCATATCTGGGTGACCACTCTCAAACTTGAACTACAAAATTTACTGCTTTGTGTTTGTTTAGTTTAGTTATAATCTCACTACAGTTAAACCGCTAGATAACAAGAACTTCACGGAGTAGTCATCACATCTAGGACTCGGGTTGACAATTAAAGTGAAACCCGCTATACTATGCATTAGTAGGTGGTTACACTTGGCCACTTTCTAGTGTGTCGGTACAGGTGAGTCAATATTTTAGGGTTTGAATGACTGAATGTGTTTGTCTATTTGATTTTTAATGTCACTCTTTCCTAAATGATGACGCTTGGGTAAGTCGCCCTAATCATCCCTCTTACCGTACTTTTTGTTACCGCGCTGAGTAAGGAGTTCTAGTGTTAGACGGGTATGCACCAGCTGGCGAGTTTAGTTTACACGTGTGAATGGGGGCCTATAGTGGTCGCGGCAACCGAACCCCTGCTATAGGTAGCCTTCCAATATGGAACACAAGATGAAACCTCGGTCTGGACGGTGGATAGTGTCCATTGAAATGAGCCAAAAGCTTAAAGCCCCAGATACGATAGCCTAGATCGAGGTGTCTGAAACATGGGATTAGGGGAGGCGTACTCGGAGGCGTGTGGATAACGATGAAGGCCAACAGAAAAGAGCTCACTCACCACATTTGATAACCGTAAGTATCTATACATGCATAGTATCCTTAAGATAGGGGGGAGGATTAGTTCCTCCAAGTTAGCTTTGATCAACCTCTAGACTAGTATTTCCTCATATCCTCCACTCAAAACCTCAAAAACTGATAACCTAATTAACAAGGTGGGAAGTAGGCTAGGGTACCAGGATCCAAGTAGTATACGACCTTGATTATCACTATACGACTATGCCTTCCTAGGTTAAACTTGGCTTTGGATGGGATAGTAGTTGATACGTGCAAACCACTGACACTAACATGCACAGATTCAAGTGATGAAGCTTTTTGGCCCCGTTGATGGGGAACCTTGGTAACTAGTAGAAAACCATAAGTTGTTAGTTAGTTTTTATCTTGCTTTAGTTGTTTGTTTCGTGTTGTGTTTTTGTGCTTTTGTTTCGTATTTTGTTTTCATACTTGTGTCTTTGTATGTATTGATATTTGCCACTTTTGTATGTCACGGATTGTTGAGGTTGTGTTTTTTAGCATCGTTGTATGCGAAGAAGGGATTCCTTGTAACTATTACCTCTTGATTCTGAAATTGAGAGAACCCATCGGAATCTAAGAAGAGTTACAAGACTCAACCTCCACCAATGGCGGAACAACAAGCTCAAGTACCACCGAGGCCAAGAACAATGTGTTCTGACTCTAGGCCAAGTGTGGACATTGTTCAGTCACCTATTCTTCATTTGGCGTTACCCAACAATGATTATGAGATCAAGCCAAACATAATATCAATGCTTCAAAGTGCAGTTCAATTCAATGGGATGATGAGTGAAGAAGCACATGCACATACCAAGTCATTTTATGGTTGACGGATGGAATCAAGTTGAATGCACATATCAACCACATCACTCAATCACCTCATGGGATGATCTATGCAACAAGTTCTTTGCAAGGTACATTCTACCCTCTAAGACGGCTTTGATGAGAAGTGAGATCACTATGTTCCATCAAGAGGAAGATGGGCCATTGTTTGAAGCATGGGAAATATTTACATCTATCCTACTCAAGTGTCCTCACCATGGCATAGCCGATTGGCTACACGTCGAAATCTTCTATAATGTGTTAACAAAGGAATCATGGAGCCTCATTGATGCGGCTAGTGGAGGTGCCATATGGAACAAAGAAGTCGAGAGAACTTCAACAATTAATCGAAGAGATGGCCCTTAATAGCTATGATTGGGGTGACAGAATAAGAGGTAAGAGCATATCACATGGAAGTTTATTGAAGATTGAAGAACCATCGTCTCTATCAGCCCATATTCAAGAACTTTCCAAAAAAATTGATCAAGTTGCATCGTCAATGAAGGGCAATGGGAAGCAACTTATGAAGTGTGATTGGTGCGGTGACTCGAGTCATAATGTGGAAGAATGCAAGTCCATGATTGAAATTTCTATACAATTCGAGCAAGCCAACTTTGTTGGAGGTCAATCTCGAGGAAACAACCCTTATAGCTCGACGTATAATCCGGGATGGAGGAATCACCCGAACTTTCTATGGTCTTCTCCAACGGATAGGAAACGTTCGGGGTTTCAATCTCAAGCTCCGATGCAAACTTCTTACCAAAGGCAGAGTCAGACAACATACCAAGGAGCATATCAAGAACAAAGTTGACCCTACGATGGTCGACTTGCTAAACTTGAAGATTTGATAGGCCAATTTGTCACACATTCCAACAAGAAGTTTGAAGATTTTGACAAGTTCATAGAGAATACCTCAACCAAATTATTGAGCTTGGAAGCGGGTCAAAGGAATCAACAAGCTTCACTTCAAAATCTTGAAGCTCAACTAAGTTCATTTGCTCAAACTATCTCATTGAGACCTCAAGGAACCCTACCAGGCAATACCGAGCCGAACCCAAAAGAAGGATGCCATGCGGTAACTCTAAGCATTGGCCGACCGTTGAAGGAGATTCCTATTTAAACTCCCAGGATCCCGATAAGAGAGGTTTATCAAGAAGTTTTTCAAGAAGAAGAAGTAGCTCGGGAGTAAGTACAACCGTCCATTGAAGTCAATGTCGAAGATGAGGGAAAATCTAAGAAGGCTCATGAACCCGAGCCAACATCAAAAGCTCCTTATCCTATACAGTTATTTGAAAGCGATCTTTATCATGGATGTGCTCCATGGAAGGACACATTGAAGCAATTACAGGTAATCCTTCCTTTCCTAGACATGGTATTGAAGATCCCTAAATATACAAAGTTCTTGAAGAAATTTTTTTTGGGAAAAAGGAAAATGGAGGAGGTAGCTATGGTGTTCGTTAGTGAATTTGCTTCGGCATCCATTGAGTATGGAGGATCCCTCCCAAACTAAGAGATCCGAGAATCTTCACTGTTCCATTCATTTTTGGAGAAAAAACATTTTAGAACCAGTCATGCCTACACGGATATACAATGATTTGAACCTTGGACCCCTCACTCCTACTCCAATGCTGATTGAGTTGGCCAATAGGTCTGTTTTCGAGCTAAGAAGAATCATAGTGAATATCTTGGTAAAGTGTGCTCATTTTGACTATCCGGTGGATTTCGTGGTTCTAGACACGGAGGGGTATGATGCATCGATTATCCTAGGCCGACCCTTTCTAGCTACGGCACGGAGGGGTATGATGCATCAATTAGCGGTCGGACCGCACATATATTCTCCCCGTGTCCATTTCTTTTTCCCCATCATGTGTTTGCATTTCCATTTTCTCCAAACCAGAGCGAGCAGAGCAGGAACAGGGGAGCTCGGTAAAAATTCCAAAGCTCAAATTCTTGAGCCCTAGTGATCCAAAAATCTCGTAAGTAATGCCTAATTCATCTATACATCTTGATTTATCGATTTAGAGCTTTAAAACGAGTTTTTGGTTCAATAATTTCTTGAATTCCCGATAAGTCAAATTAGGGTTTCGGAGTATCCGGGAGCCGGATTGAGCCCAAATTTCATATACGAGCCTCCTGCAGCAAGGTAATCAATCCTCTAGTTTTAATCCATGAATTTCGGCTATTATTTAGGTCGAGGTCCAAATCGCTGAATTTAGCTCCGATCAGGGTTTTAATGTGTTTTTATCAAGAATTTGACCCGGAGCCAAGAACTAATATTGACGGGGGTACTGCAGGGGATATTAGGACAATCTCGGATTTTAATTCGGGGTTCGTTCATGAAATTGACGTTTTAGTATGGGAGGCAAAAACCGGTGTTTGAACGACTAGAACTGGTGAGGGATTAGCACGACATAACGGGTTTTTCGTATCACGATAATTATATTAATGCTTAGAATTGATCTAGGTGAACTAGAATGGCATGATTAGGGGTGTATGAACTTTTGTGCTATATGTTGAACCCTGAACTGCTGTATGATATTATTGACTTGCCCTAATCAATATGGACCTTGTTTATGTTGATGATTGCATACATGTTGCCATTTGTGGCTTAATTGTTAATATGACATCAGGTTGTTCGATCATGTGTTTGGACATGATGTGATATTGGTTGTATTTGGATTCACAAGTGGAGGAAATAAACTTCCCAGGGTGATATTTTGATGTTTAAGGAGGATGACTTGCACGAGGGTTTATCACGAGGAAGTGCAATTATACAACTCCTGGTTATGTTGAGCCAATTGTGGCCAGGCCAAGAATATGTCTAAGTAATGAATTATGATTAAGCAAGATGAGATATGGATCATGTATAAGGATACCAAGTAAGAGTACTTTGGTCTCATGGTCAATTACATAGTAATTATTGCTCCCCATGCTATTACTCCGTTATGATATGTTATGTCACACCCCTGATGTGGTGTTGACCGTTGATTCATCATGAGATATGACCACACCCATAGTGGTCTTGAGTCCGATATGACCACACCCAGTGTGGTGTCAGGTCCGATTTGACTACACCGGCAGTAGTGGGTCCGATAAGACCACATCCACGAGATTTTTGGTCCGTATTCCCGGGAGAGTAATTAGCATGGGAGTAGCCAGGCGCCTATGATTAAAACATGATAAGATGCATATGCATATGTCAAGGTGGTTGACTCTTTTGCCTATTGGGATGTCGGTTGGCTGAGGTCTAATCATAGTGCGTTGGCTTGTTTGCTAGATGTATGGTAGGGGTATGCTTTCTTATGAACTCACGATGCAAGGATTGTCTCACTCAGCTATGAGCTGACCCTCTTTATCCTTTTTCTCTGCTTATGCCATGTGTAAGCAGATCATCATCATCAGCAGTAGATAGGTGTATAGGTGGCAGCTGAGCAAGAGTTGAAGGCAAGATGAGGTATGGTCTTCAACTATTCTATGCTTGGACTACTACTCGGGATTTTGGCTAGTGATCCACACCTTTTTGTAAAAAAATGTTTTGAGAACGTTTTTCATGTGCATACTAGCTTCAGATGTAGTGTGAGATATCCACAGGTGTGGAAAGTTGATGATATGTGTATATTTATGTGGTTGTGTAAGTTATGACGACTATGATATGTATTAGTAAGGTATGCAGTTGTGGAGTATGAAACTTTTCCTATGGCTATGAAAGCCAACGTATATGGTTGTGAGTATATATGTTTGTTTATGGATGTAGGAATTCAGATAAATTATTTTGCAGGTATTAGTTACAAGAACTGTTAGTCCATTACGCGAGTAATTCATGTCGAAATTTTATATGGGTAAATTTTGTAATTAATGTAACACCCGAGATTATTTCCGCTGCAATTGTATGAACAATATGATTAGGTAATACGTATAGGGTAGGTTGTTACACAAATTTTCACAAGTATTACAAATGGGACGATGTCAAGATGGATTGTGAGGCGGTTACACCTCTTACCATACCACCTTCAAGTCCCGAGATTGAATTGTTCAATATGGTCTCCCATGTTGACCCCCATGATGCTCTAGTTAAGAGAGGGAGTGATTCTTGCAAAAATATGAAGCAACCGACAAAGAGAAATCTTCTGGCATAATGCAAACCCAAGAGTTGTTCAAGGTTTCTCATCTCTCCCGTGATCATGGAAGAAACCTCTGAAGGTTTATCTTTGAAGAGAGGCATCCTAAGAAAGGAAAATAATTTGTTAAGGGCGATTTAGCTCCTATTATTGAAAATGAAGAGTTCAAGGAATGCTGCAAGCCATTCACGGATAATGACATCTCTATGAAAGAGTCTCACCCTCGCCATCTTGCAAACCAATTCTCAAATGGATCCTTTCTATCTCAAGCACCGAACGAGGCATCCGAGAGACTCCATGGTCTTCACCTTGTACTTCACCACAAGTATTTTAATATCCCAAACCGCACGAAAAAATATAATAAATGTAAAAGGGAAAAATAAATTTCTTCTACAAATTTACAACTGTGATTCTATACCCTGGAGTTTGCATCATCGACGAGAGAAGATGTTACGCAAAACAATAATAGTAATTGGTTATTATATATGGATATGCATTAGAAAGAAATAGAAATTAAATTAATAAAAATATATAAAATAAATAAAAACAGCAGTAGGACTCGAACCATTAACCTACTGGTTTATATTAGGGTTTCAACCAGTCGTTTCGGTATAACCAAAAATTGAAAATTCGGTTATTGGTTAAACCGAGACACCCCAAATGGATGCCGACCATCGACCGTGAGAGTGCCACGGCTAACCGACCACCGATCGGTCGGTTATCGGGTTTTGGTTCAGTTAGTCGTGGTAAACGGAATTATGCTTGCCGCTGACAATAAAAGGCACGTACAAAATGCGTTTTTCCTGCCAAAATTAACTACGGTAGTGAGATTTTGAAAGTAATTAATTAAAATGGGCGAAGGCGGAGGCCGAACACGGTGCCGACGACGTTGGGAAGCGAGGGAGGCCGGAGGTTTCTGAGTATCTGTCTGGTGAGGTGGTGGATTAGGCGGCAGAAGGGATGGGGTTGGTGAGAGCCGAGAGGGCTCGAATGAGAAGAGAGGTGGAGGGGGCAGGGGGCAGGGGTAAGGGTAAGGGGAGGGGGAGGGGGGGTTTTGGGGCTGAGACCGGTTCATTTCGGCTGGTCGGTTAACCGTGGTTATTCACCGTCGGTTATTCGGCTAGCCGAAAATTCTCTCTGACTGATCGACCATCGAACAACCTTAATAAAAGTCTGTTTTTGGGTAGCTACTAACCGACAGTTTTCGGTTAAAACCGTCGATTAGCCGCTAACCAAAAATCCACCAGCTACCCCTTGTTTATATTGAAGTCATGCAAACGAACCTAAACCAGTAGACTAAATACCATTTCACATTCAAACTCCTCCAGTCTTTTACATATCTGTAATCGTATCTTTGCTTAACTGTAAGGTATCAACCAGTCTTAGGTTTTGACGTTGTCGTTCCAATTGAAGAGGCAGTAGCTTCCATGTCGGGCTGCGGAGATGGATCTTTAAGCGGCGCCCGACGTTGGAATTGGGGTTTCTTCCTTTCAACGCACCTGTAGACTTGAAGGCGACCTTTCGATGGGAATTAATTGTTGACGTCTGTGGAGTTGAAGGAGGGAAGGGGCTAGATACATCATTAGCAAGACTCGCCAACCAATTCTTTCATCTTCCAGGAAATAAAGAAACCGAAGGCGGGAGAGAGAAGAGAAGAAAGGAAACCAAGATATCTAATAACTTCTGAGGGTCGGGTGTAGGTAATAAGTACCCTAGCAACTCATTTATGGAGTCAAAAATCGGTTTTGAAGGTTGTAAGGCTCTCGTCGGAGAGTCGTCGTCAATCCCGATGTCGGCTGCGATATCATCAACTGCGACGATAATTCTAAATCTTGGTACTGATGCGTTGAGCTTGTCTCCAGAAGCATCACGGAGTCGACGGAATTAAATTCCAAGATCAAACGAGGGGGAAACGAGAATTGAAAGTTTGTCCGTATAATGGTACGATTTACAAGTTCTGGAACTGTTTCTGACATTTCGAAAATATAGAGTACTATTCGGTAATTTTCAACACTAATCGTAATCGGCTCGTAGTTTCTTCATTTGGCGTCCAAACGACGAATTGTTTATGTCTACACGACCATGGGAATGAGGAGGATTTTTAAGAGCCAATTACTGGAATTTCATAACTTAATTCCCGACTAGGAATTGGCTAAATTAAGGTGTGTGGTAGGGGGACCTTAACTATTGCACCGATTACTATGCTTGATTTGCATATTTGGATGGATGGATTACATGTGATATTGATTTGCTGGAAGATTTGATGATTTGGTAACTGTTCTTGATTGTTTAGGATTTTACGATATAAATATCGGTATTTGACAAGTTACACCATAAATATGGACTGTTGGGTTTATTGAGCCTAAAACTTATCAGAACCATTTTTGTATGCTTAAATTTATGTTTGGACAGATTTAAGTGAAGGTTTCACTTCAAAATGGATTTTGGTTTAAAAACTGCATAACGATGAATTTTCAAAAAGATCAGTTAAAAATGTGTGTTATTTATCTTTAAGATTTTGATGACTTTATGATGCCTAGTGTGACTTTTTAAATTGATTTCGGTATTAAAATTATGAATTAGATAGTTGGTGGAGTTTTAATCTTAAAATGGTAAAAACGAGCTTAATATGAGATTTGTGGTAAGGACCAAATGTAATCATATTTTCATTGTTTTGAGTTTTGGGAAAGGTAAAATTGGACAGACCTGTTTTAGGATGATAAATGGATGTTCTGGTATTTTTGGGGGATTTTTGGAGTTACCGTTTGATTTAACAAGCCATACATGGATTGTCTAAATTACTGTTTATGACCATACATGGATTTAATTGACATTTTGTCTTAATTAATTCACCTTCATGAATTACATGATGAATTGTGATGGAGGAAAATAAATTAGAGATGATAACGTTTTACCCACAAAACGTGATTATCTCGGTAAACTGTGCTGGGATTATGTTGGAAAACTGTGTGGCGGGTTTTGAGTTTTGAGCTATGATTGGGAAATGATGAAATGAGGTTTGGAAAGAAATGAATTGAGTAGGTTATATAGTTATGATTAATGAGATTATTATGAATATGTGATTAGTTGTTGAATGAATGATTGATTATCGTTACTGATTACGTGATTTTGGATGATATAAATGTTTGAGTGATAATTGACGTTATGAAATTGTGTGAATATTGGTAAATGTTGGTATGAGTGAATTTATGCCAATTGTATGGATTGGAAATGGTGATTGGAATCTTGATTTGAGATAGGATGGTGGAATAATTGATTTTTTAGAAATGTCGAGTTGATAACCGACATGAGATACGTATGGATTGGGAATCAGTGGGATGACATTGATTCCTGGAGTGATTGAGATGATGATGACTTGATGAGATGTGCAACATGAGATCCATTTGAATTGTGAACTCAATGAGAAGGCATTGATTCCTGAATTTTTTTTATGAAATGTTTGACGTGAGATGAATGGACCAGTTAATTAGTGGGGCTGCACTGATTCTGGATCGATTATGCATGGACCGGTTAATCAGTCGGACTGCATTGATTCCGGATCGTTTGTGATGGATGAGAGAAATGAAATTGTTTTATTCGTGATCATATTAATTCACATAGACGCAGAAAGGGTCTGCACTTTTACCCCCAGATGATTTTTGGTTTGGGTAGATCTAGCTCGCATCTACGCGTATTGTGGTTGCATGAGCACCACAGATGATGATTTGCTCGAGCGGGGGTAAATGTATGGTGACCTTGGATCCATTTGATATAAAACCACATTGTATCATATTCGAGCCAAAATTACTTGACAGCGAAGCTATTGAAGTTGGGAAGAAGAAGGGCATAATTTGGCCAAGTCAACATCTGAGTTCATGGTGCCTACTTTGGAGGCATGGTTCTCTCAATTGGCCTGGTGGAAATTCAAAGATAGATGTTTGTTTTGAATATAATGTTACCCTATACACATTGGTATGTTTTTTCGATCCAGAAGAAGACATTAAGACCATTTTCCAGACATCCAAAGTTGCTATATGGAAAGCTGAAAACTGCCTGAAAATGGCTAAGGCAGAAAACTGGTTTGTAAAACCTACTTTGGAGCTCAATTCGAGGAGCATGGATCTGATTCGAGTCCAAAGGCTTCCACAACATGAATCTAGGTATTTATTTCTACAAAGGGAAGGAATTGGATGAAATATTAGAGATGTGGAAGGCCTCGAACGACAGGCACGAAGTTAGTCCGAAAGTTGTTTTCTGACAACTTACCTGTGCTTCAAGAAAGAGAGTTTGAGTCTGAAAATTGTAAGCTTTTTAGAGTTTTGTTACATTATTTGTTTCCTAGTTCCATTAGGTTCTTATTAGGTTTTTATTGCCTTTAAATACCTTTCAAATTTACGTTGTAAAGCAATTAAGTTTGTTGAATAAAAATTACTCGGCAGAGTTTTGTGTTCTTTGAGTTGGGTCTCGAGAATCAAATCCTTGAGTTAGCTTTGTGTGGAATTCCATTTCTATTTCGAGAACCCTTGTCAAGCTTTTCTGTGAGGATTCCAGATTCGTTTAACAAGTTTCTTATCAATCAAGTAAACACCTTGATTGTGGCAAAATTCTACATTTCCATCGTTATCGTTCGATTGTTTGGTTTGCTACGTAGTTCTGATTACATACAACCCCCCCAGGGTCGTATCACCATTAATGATTAACCAGAATTTTCATATCATGCATTGATTATGTATTCGTGAAACTATGCGATTATCATTTTTGATAAATTGATTCAGCGATGATGAGTTGGTGGATTCGATATGTTGATTGATGATTTATATATGATGAATTAAGATGGCATCTAAAATACTAAATTGCGATTGTTTATGACTATTTGATTAGATAATTGTGGTCCCAAAACTAGGTCGTGGGAAAGAATCCACACACAAATCGAACTTGCTGACCCACTTCTGCTCAGTTTCTTATAGATTCCAATGCATTGAGGGAAACTCTGGCACTGCCCAATGATCGAGTAGCGGCATAAGATGGTACCATAATGAGCATATTAGTGAATGACACTCTGATATGGTTACATGAAATGAATGAACTAGATTGAGTTGATCTTTGGTATATGTTGAGTAATTCAGGAATTGATTGTTGTGATTTTGGATTAAGATGGTGTTTGTATGTGTGTTACCAGTGGTAAACAATTGAGTTTTTGCGTTACCCCGATAGAGATTCCGCTGTGCGGGTGAACCATTGGTTCAACCCATGAGTTTTAGGGTGGGGTGTTACAAGTATGACTTTTACGAAGGGTCATCGGTGAAGGGTGGAGGACTCTCCATTTGACCTTAAGGAGTCTAAGTCCGACGAAAAGACTTTTAAAGACGCGCTTGTTGGGAGGAAACCCAACACTTCAATTTGCGTATCTTTTCCCTTTCTTTTTCTTTTTAATTAAATAGAAGCTTAGTTAGAGCATTAGAAATGCATTGAGATTGATTGATAAGAATTAGCCTTTCTTTTGGATGCTTGATTGAATGTTTGGATGAATGCTTGAACTAAGAGACGTGGAGAAAATGAGTTGTCCTTAACAGGGCAAAGATCGCGGTTGATAGGGCAAAGATTGCGGCTGACTCGTTCTAACTACAACATCCCGATCGACGGCCAAGTATAACCGCCGACCTAGTGTAGCATAGGAGGATCTAGGCTTACCCTACTTCAAGTTTAGGGTTCGTTATCTAACCAGCTTAGGATAGTGATTAATACAACTAAACTAACTAACCTAGACTAACCACTAATCCTAGCTATTTACAAGGTAGGGACCTCCCTTGGTTTCAATCCTCATAGCTCCATCGTATGATCGATGTTGAGTATCACCTAACTCGATCGACCCATTATCCTATCGTTAGGAGATTAACTCCCTCGAGACGGACCCGGAACGGTGAAGTGATGGATGGGTAGGAGCTCTATTCAACCTAGAGCACCCCTATATCGTAGAAGATCGATCCAATCGACTTCCTCTGGGATTACCCAGATGATATGGGGTGAGGAGTTGTTTCCTTCCTAGGTCAAAAGCTCGATTGACTCAATTACTCTACCGTTAGGAGATGGACTCCCTCGAGAATCACCCATAACGGCAAATAGATGAATGTGGTATGCTCTATTCAACGTAGGGAAACCCTATATTGTAGAAGGTTGGTGGAATGGACTCCCTCGGGGATTACCTGGACGATATAGGGTAAGGAGTGACCCGAAGACGCCAATAATGGGCTCTAGGGGGTTTTCTCCCTCCTAGGTCAAAAGCTCAATACAAGAAAATGGAAACCCAACTCATGTCATTCATGAAAACATCCATCAATTAAGTAAAATCATAAATCACACATGGAATGTGTAACATACATCAACATTAAACCCAAATCTAGACCTAGGGTTCTTAAACCCAAGATCTTCTTCTTCTTCTTCTAGTCTTGAATCCTTGTCTTCAAGATCAACCCAAGCCTCCAATTAAGCTCCAAGATCACTCAAGCACACACACACTCTCTCTCTCTCTCTCTCTCTCTCTCTCTCTCTCTCTCTCTCTCTCTCTCTCACTAGAACTCTCCTTTTTGTGTTTTGGGTTGAAACCCTAGAGAGAATCAAATCTGTAACACTCTAATATTTAGGTCTAGGTTCCACCGAACGATTAGATCGACGATTGCATACAAAGAGTTGCAACTGTGGTTTGGAGATAATAATAATAATAACATTAATAACTATTGTTATTATTATTATCATTATCTTAGTCATCATAATCATCATAATCTCACCCACGCCGCCCGCTACAACAAAATGAAATAAAAAATATATATTTTCCTCGGCTACAACAAATGGTGATAATAAAAAAAAGGAGAAAGATTCCCCCACTCACCCATTACCTTTTCCCAGTGGAGCCATTACCTCAATCCGTTGGCTCAAGATATGCACCTATTCGTAACTAAATCTGCACTCTTTATTCAGAAAATTCGGGTTAATTGCATGGCTAGTCACTAAGATTACGAAAAACGTTCATGTTTGGTCACTCGAAATATTTAATTTCATTCGTGGTAACTAAAATTAGTTAAATAGTTCAAGTTTGGTCACTCTCCGTCTAACTCCGTTAACTTTTACTTACGTGGCAGTCAACTCTAACAGTTGACCGTTAAATGTGTAACATGGCAGTTAAAAAATAATAAAATAAATACAATTTAATTTTATAAAACTGCCACCTCATTTCTAACTATTAAAAAATAAAAATAAAATAATTGAAATCCACAACTTCTTCCCCACCGATTTCTTCTACCATCGCCCTAAATCCGTCGTCAGAGCCACAGACCCCGGCCAGACATCCTCCCTTCTTGTAAGAAAGCGACTCGACGAAACAACCGTCGTCGTCGGCGATCGCCCCGCCAGCCTCGTCATCCACACCAATGGCAACAAGTCTGCCACTGCCGTAGAGTACAAGAGGAAGAAGAAGTACAACCACCTGGACGGAATAACATTTTCGTGGAGGGGGACAAGGAGCATAACCACGCCTTGTAATCAGCCGGAAATTCAAAGCTTCCTCAAACGATTTATAGGAATTCACCGCTTCCACATCGTCTCGCCGCCGCCGTTGATTATTTTTGCAGCTTCCCTCCCCTTCCTTGATAGATTGATGATTGTAACTTTTCAGATTTTTTCTTTTTTTGGTGAAAATTCTCCACTATCTTTTTGTGGATTGGAGGGTTTTGATTTTGTTGAAATTTGGCAGCTACCTTCTTCCAGCTGATTGGTCGGCGCTAGCTAATACCATACCAGGCCATTCACAAGACATTGGTTTTCTCTCGCCTCTTTGGTTTCGCTGTCTCTTTTTGTTGTGATTTTGCAGGTTCTATCACTTTGCAATCTGGAATTGGTTCTCGGTTTTCTTTGGCGGCTACTCAGTTTCTTGTGACCTCTGTTTTGCAGGCGAGGAGAAAAGAAGGCGGCAGTGATCCTGGGGTTTCGGCAGTTGGTGGAGATCGGCAATTCCGGCCGACATGTATCTTCTCCCTTCTCGCTTTTCGGACTGTCTGTGTTAGTGGCGGTGGGGCGGTGGATGGATAACCACTTTTCCTCATGGCGGTGGAGTCGATAGCTTTAGATATGTTTTATGAGGGGATAAAGGATTTGATCTGCAGTTGTGGAGGAAGAGTCGATGATTGAAGAGGTGGAGATACTACCGTGACGACACTGACGAGCTTGCGAGTGCAGGAGGAGGGAAAGACAATCAGCAATCACAACTCACAAGCTCTTCCATTTGGTTGGACAAGAGGGAGATCATAAATCTAATTGTTTTCAATCCTTCAAAGGTGCCCGGGATGGTTCCGGTGAGCTGGGTGTGTCCTGAAAAGGAGCGTGGATGAGGAAGATGAAGAAGCTCCAAGATTAGTTGCTGTCCATGGAACAAATGCTGCTGCTGTTGATCCTGAAGAAGGAATGACGAAAGCAGAGAAAACAGAGGAGAATGAAGACGACGTCGCTGTGGACGAAATGAGAAGCAACGCACCGTTTTGCAGAGTGCAACGGCAGCCTTCAAGTTTTACTGTTTAATTAGACATGTGTACAGCTTTGATTGGTAGATTAGAAAGTTAGTTTAAACGGCTAATTGTAAATCATTGTTTGCAGTTGTATATAAACTCTTCTCAATGGAAAAGCTCACTATGAGCAATTTCCCCAATCTGGTTTCTGTGCAAATTCCTCTCAACCCTAAATCTTCTCATGGTATCAGAGCGCTGCTCATCGCGCTAAGATCCACTTCTGCATTTTCTTCTACACTTTCTTTCATTTCTCTGATATTCACCTTCACCTTCATCATCGATGGAAGGTCAAGACACTTCACAGGAAACTTCACCCAACACTGAACCCAGATCTGAATCTTCTGCAAAATACAAAGCTGTTGTATCCCAGTATGAAGATCCTTACCTCAATCCCTACTACCTACCTCCTATGGATGGAGCTCTACCCACAATCATCTCTATTAAGCTTGTCGATGGCAACTATCATACTTGGAGTGAGGTCATGCTGTTGGCCTTGGAGACGAAGAACAAATCTCAGTTCATCGATGGTCGTATACCTGTTCCCCAGGTAACTGATTCTCATTACCAATCTTGGGCTAGATGCAATGGAACCATTCGATGCTGGATCTATAACTCGTTGTCAGATGACATAGCTAATAGTGTGATGAGGCTAGGGTTGGCTAAGGATGTATGGGATAACTTGAAGAACCGTTTTAGCCAGGAGGACAAAATTCGTGTTTATGATCTTCAAGGTCAATTGGCAAGATGTGTTCAGGGTGATGATTCTGTGAGTCAGTATTTCACTAATCTTACTGTTATATGGGAAGAATTCAAGAGATACAGACCCATTCCTGTATGTCCTTGTGTTCCTGGCCCTTATGAAACCTTAAAGAGATATCAGGACAATGATTTTGTCATCAAATTTCTCCAAGGGTTGAACCCTTCTTACCAATCAGCAAGAACCCAGGTCTTGATGTTGCCTGTTTTACCTCATGTTGACATAGTCTTCAAGCAGATTTTACAGTTGGAACGGCAATTAAAGGTCCTTAACAAAGGTCCTAGTGT